GAACTTTTTTTTTTTTGTTCCCTTCCAAGACAATTTTCAGAGGAGTCAGAGGAGTCAGATAGAGCTGAGGATAATTCTCTGTCTAAACATGTCCATCAGTTGGATTTTTATTTTTTTTTTATTTGCCACCATTCTTGAATTTGCCATTAGAAGGAAGGATGCTCCAGCAGATGTTTAATGTCAAATGTGTGATTTCATTTGAGACATATAAGCCTTCATCACACTAAATCTGCATGGATGGGAGATATACTGGTTTCCAATAACGGGTTCAAAGAGCTTTCAAAAGGCCTCTGGTCTTTATAAAGAACTTCTGGGCACTTCAGGTAATTTGTATGGTATCTCCCAACTCCTGCAGATCGGAATAGCAAGCTTTCTGGAAGTACATGTGCGCTGTTTGTAAACAGCCATGGTCTGTTTTGTTTGCAACTTGCATTTTCTGAGATAAGAATCTTCAATAGCAACCACCGCAATAAATATTTTCAGAAACACTTCAGTTTGTTTACATGGAATATGTGAATGCAGAAGACTGTGTTCAGCTAGCAGCCACCACAGATTTCTGAGGGTGGGGAAGCAGGGCAAGGAAGTTCATTCTGAGCCAGCGTGTTGGTTGTAACATATCTATAGCAACTTCAGCTAGGAAGCAGCTTGCTGATAAAGTTTTCTTACCAAGCACTCTTGACTGAAGTCACATTTAAAGACAGTGTTTCATTATATCTCGCTCTTGACAACTCTCCTGGCAGCGCCGCTGTCATACAAAAAGGGAGAATGGCAGCTTTGCAAAGAGAAAATGCATTGAGACTTCTACTGTATATTTTAAATACAAAGTGATGATAAATACTTGTACTACTTATAGAACTCTGCTGAAAATGGGATTACACCAGTATGATTTGTAAGTGCAAAAACTTCTTCCACAATAACTCAGGAAGATTTCCGTCTTCTGCTTTTGATAACACTCTAGCATGGGAACAGGAGTACGGGGCTTGTGCTTTCTAGCAGTCAGCTGAGCATAGAAAGAAGTATGAATTCAACAAATTAAAACCGGGTGAAAATATGTAGACTTTGCTAAATCTGTGATACCTGTGGTAGCCTGAAGGGCTTAAGGAAATCCAGGGAGCTGCTACACAATAGTTCCTGCACCCAAGTAGCATCCATCAGTGAAAGATGTGTAAAGCCATGGTACACATTTTTGTTCTTTGGAAATGTCAAAAGTGGTTTTTCTTTTTCTTATTTTGTTTTACACTGTTTTGCATTCTTCTGCTCACCTGCCCAGATTCAGCTTTGCAATTGTCTCAAAGCACTTGTTATCCCACTGTCAAAGGTACTTAATCATCAGATACACGCTGATTTTGGTGGGATTTAGCTGCAGTGCTGCCTCTAGAAGATGCATTCAGGTCAATGCCGGAATTCAGAAATAACGGCTGTCTTCTCACTTGCTGCAAATGTAGATGTTACTATCCCAGAGAAAAAAAAAAAGTTGAACAAAAATATCCCAGATGTATAGACAGACGGCAATATCCATAAGTCAGCATTAGGCAGGCATGTGCTGGCAGGGAGGTTTGGCACGAGCTGGAGCAAAGCAGGGATGTGCTGGCTATTCAGCTACAAAAGGTATGTGAGGAAAATAAACTGCTGATCTCAGCATGAATGCTAAGTATATGAGGGGCTGGGGAATGCGTTCAGTGATAACTTGGTTGGTATAGGTGAGGAAATGATAATGCAAGCTCTGGAGTAAATTGGACAGGCTTGTCAAAGCCAAACCAGACAAAATGTTGCCATGGTTATTGAGTCACTCAAATAAAGAGAACACTGCTCACTCTGAAGTACAAAGGCTCAGGATGGCTTTGTGGTCCCTCACAAGGGCTGTGGGTAGAGATGACTGTTCAGATTTGCTGCCTGCTATCATTAGGGAATGCAAATTAGAGCATGAAAATGAAAGCGGCGGGGTGACAAGGTGCCTCAGGAACCACCTTTCCTGGTTGATGCCTAAAATGTTCTCCTGGGAGTTCAGACTGATTGCTGTCTATTCTGCATAATGGGTAGGCTGACTGATTTTATTGATCCTCAGTTATTTTTCAATATTGTTTGCTTCATTAGTCCAGGCAGCCAAGGTACGTAGTCACAAGCCCATAAATAAGCGTCAGTGGCCAATGCAAACATATCTTCATGGTGGAGAATCTGCATTTTAGTTTTTAACAATTGGCAAAGCCTACTTAGTTTTCATACGTCCGAGGAAAGATTTTAATGGATTATTGCACAGTATAAAAAGGGGAGAGTGCATTTATTATATTTTTAAAATTTTTCTTCCATGTTTTAAATAGCACACTGAGAATAAGCTTCAGCACTATTTTCTATTAGGGAAATGATTTTTCTATGTGTTATTCCTACAGATGTGGTTTTAATCAGAACCCTTGCTCTACCCCAATGAATTTGGAGTTTTGAGAGAAATAAGGAGAAAATAAAAGAGGAAAGAAAACCAGTGCAATGACATAGAAAGTATCTGGCTGCTGGAGGAAAATAGTGCCAGTGAAGATGAGGACTCAGCTTGAAGAATTTAGTGGCAAGGGCAGCAAGGGCGAAGAAAGTCACATTAACACAGAGATGCAGTCTCTGGTGGGTCATTTGAATTTCATCTGCAGAGTAATTTTCACGCCATTTAGCCATAGTCACAGCAGGAACAAAGAGGACTAAACACATTAAAATGACAAAATCGTACAAGGAGGGATTGGGGCTCGTGGTCATTACATTTGATAAAATTCAATGATACGGTAGGCTGAGTTAGTGCCGTATCAAAGACTGTGAGTGTTTACAGAAAAATATGGTATGCAACAGGAGAAAGTTCTGTAGCACACTCATTCAGGGTTCATGGTACATTAAGAATCCATAAGGTGCAAAGAAGAAAGGATTTCTGGCATAAAAAAAAAAAAAAAAAAAAACCCCAAACTAAACCAAACAAACAAAAAAACCAAAAAAATGCAAACACAAGCAAAACATCCCAACCTGTTAACAAGACTTGCAGTAGACCCAGAATAGTGGCCCTGTTTTTTTTTTCAGATCCTTCCATGAAACACAGGATATTTTAATAACTGGTTATGTGCTGCAAGATTTCTTAACAATTAATTAGTGGATCTAGGGCCTCAGAAAATGGACTTGGATTGAAAGCTTTCATCAATTCTCAATTGCTGTCCTTAGCCACAAGCCATGGAGGGATGCCCCCCTGAAGCTGGGAGAGTGCTGTTCGGTGCTGCACGCTTCTGTAGTTCAGGTAGGCAGTGCACACAAGCACACATCCACAGACAAGCTTCAGTACAATGCTCCTGGTGGAGAATGTGAGTTTCAGTTTTGAAAACCTAAGTGTAGTTTTTTACACCTGAGGAAAGATGTTGTGGATTCCCTTATCCACATACAGCATGGGAGAATTCAGTCATGTCATGGACATTCATCTTTAGATCTGGTAAGGTACATTAAGTAATACTAAGAGGAGAGCTGAAGATTCTCATGTGTTTTCAAGGAAAGTTCCTGACAGTGGAAGATAAAATAATTCAAGGAGCTTCAAAACATCCTGGGCTTCAATAAATTGGCATGGATCACTGGAGCACACACATTAACGACAACTGAATGTAAGTGCCATGGAAGGAGAGCATCTTTGCCTTTTAGGGTAGCTGGTCAAAAGAGCCATAAACAAGAACGGGCAGAGAAAAACCTGCCTGACAATGGTAAGGGAGGTAGTGATGAGAACAAACCTGGTCAGTGGCACGAACTGGTAAGGACATGTGGAGTGTGAGAAAGTTTATTTTTTCAGCTGGGAGGATAAGGAAAGGGAGGGAGACAAACACACAGAGATGTCAAACCCGATCAATTAGCATTAACAAAGGCAATAACCAGAAACAAACCTGGTCAATAACACCAGTTAATAGGATATCAAGAAACTGCAGCAAGCTGGGACTTTGCAACTGATAAGGATGCAAACCTGAGGGGTTCTTTTTTCAAGCAGTCATAGCATGAACTAAATATACTTTTTTTATTTGATTAGTGCTTGGAAATCACATTCTGGTTTATGTAGACCGAAGTTCATTTCATCTTGCCTCAGTAGTTAGTGAATGTGATGCAGAAACAAAGAAAATCATAGATTTAAAGAGCTCAAACTTAGAAAGGACTGCTACCATTATCTCATTTAACCTTGTGTACATTATAGGCCAAAGTTTACATGCTAAACGCTGTGTGAAGCCAATATAACCATGTTTGCTCAAAAACATATCACCTAAGGAAAAGGCAGGTGTGGTTTAAATGCTTTAAGTAAGATAGACTCCAGAAAATCCATTATAATGTTTTTCCCATGACTAATTATATTCACTGCTAAAAATGAGCACGTTATTTCTAATCTGAATGTATCAACATACAGCTTTTAAATATTCCATCTTGTTTTTTTCTGCTAGATAAAAAACCAGTTTGTTATCATACTGGTTACATACAAAATCATGAATCAATTAAACACTGATATCAAAGTATGTGGTGAATAATGTCAGGCCAAATGAGAAAGAAATATATTTTTTCCAAACAGAATATATGCACATGGTTATCACTTGATATGAGCTAAGTAGTAACCCAACATCTGAGTAATCAAAATCTATCCATCTCCTTTGGTATGCACTCAGGATATAAAGGAATAATCAAAATCAACTTTGATTTGTCTTGAGAACTGATTCTCGGCTACCTTGTGTAAGTATGTTTATGCAATGTAAATGTAGAACATAATTAGATTTGTGCTTCCCAGTCATGCTTATACAAGGAAGACACTTATTTTTCCCCTGTCCCCACCCTATGGACTCTCTTTGTTCACATGGCTACAACCAAGCAACTTAGAGAATCAGGACTTCAAACACCATCACACTGGTTACTTTGAGAAACCTAATGCTGTTAAAAAACCAAACTATTTAAAGGCAAAGCTAAACTCACATGCAGGTTGCTTCATTTGGTGGTGACTGTTTACATTTATGACTGACTTAGGTACGATACAACAAGTAACCACTAAATGTGGTTACTGGTGGATACTTAGCTGGTATAGAGCCAGTTGCCAGTCTGAGCCAGACTTCTTGACCATAATTTAACTCTAATAAAGCATTTCCAGTAATTGTTCTGTCAGTGTACTTGTTACTATTAATATTTTCAGCCTGAAAAGTGAGTTTGTCTATTCCATCAATGACCAGATAGCCAGAGGCACGTGGACTAAAAGATTCAATGGTATATTCAAAAACATAGACTCCCAGATATGGAACATGGAACTTCCCAGTTGCTGGGGCAAATGAAGCTCCGTAGTTGACATCCAGATTGTTAAACCTGATGGGTCCTGGAGTCGTCATTCCATATGTATGAGAGGCAAAAAAAGCCACCATAGGTGCATATCTGTATGATCCTTTTGAAAAATCTGGAAAGGAACAAAGAACAATTTCAATTAATGTTACATTGTATAAAGGCATCTTGGATCAGCCAGAAGATCAGAAGCAGTTTTTCTGAAGTCATATCATCCAGTAGCTTAAGCAAATGGAACACAGTATTTCTGCATAAACACAGAGTTTTTCTGTATTGTATAAAAAGTAATTTTATGCACAATTAGTGCCAGGTGTATCCACAAAAGAATAATTTTAGAAACAGTAAGGGAACTCAAACTCTGGGACTTTGTGTTATCATTTGCCTATACTATGTTATCATTAAGGGAGCTGCTATTTTTCTTTTCTTTCTTTCTCACCCGTTCTCCCCCTCCCCAAGTTTTTCCCACCCCAGGATCTCTCATTGTTCATCTGTGTGTGCTGAAGCCAAGAATTTTCTCCACAAATCTTAGACAAACACTGGAAAGGTTTAGCACTCCTGATGTTAAATGAGGGAATAAAAGTATACCTTTTTCTCTTCCAGCTGAGCATGCACACTATGATTCCCTGCCACTGTACAAATGATTTTATTCACTATTCATATGCTGTCATGAGTGAGAACCAGCCAAATGGCTGCTGAAAGCTGCATAAAATTCACATTCCATGTGGCTCGGATGTAAATTATTTATTTGTTTTCTGGACTGAATAAGCACAGTTTCCACTTTTCTTTTTCTGAAATATCTTTCAAGGCCTGCACCCTTTGCTGATGAAAATCAGAAGCATGCCTAAAATGACTCCTTGATGCCATAGTCCCACATGTCATGGTAGCTACTGGTATTTATAAAGCATTTATGGCCATGCTGAAGCTAGTATTCCCCAGTGATGTGATTTTACCTCCCCCCTCGAAATCCATGATATCATGTTCAAATACATCTATTGCACACCGTCCCGCGCTGCACAATTCAGCAGGGAGCTTTCCAGCTATTATGGCTGATCCCAGCCCAATTTAATCCCATCATCAGGTCATATTAAAGAAAGAGATCATGAGTCACCCACAGGGATTGACGTCTTCAGCACCAAAGCACAGGACACTATTGCTTGAGCTGGCACTCATTAAAGTGAAATGTGAGACCTTTGACCAGCAAATGCTTTCTAATTAGGCCCTGGGGCAGAGGCCCATACTGCTAGCATATTGCACTACTAAATTCTTTACTTGCCTACACTCAGAGAATTGTCGTTCACCAGCTTCATACTGCAGTTGACTCCTCCAAAGGGGTGGCGACAAGCACAAATAAAACTCTCTCTGTCGTTGATACAGGTTCCTCCATTCTGGCACGGGGAACTGACACAAGCTGAAAACTGCCCTGTGGTAGAGAGGGAGGAAAACCAACAATCTCAGTTGCAATGTCATTACAGTGACACTTCCCAAGTTTTCAGTATTTTGGAAAGCCTCTTCGTGAATTCCTAAAGCTGGCGGAATTTCTGTTGAAGTTCTGTGTGAAGGCCAGCTTCAGATCTTGTCCAGGCTGTTCAGTCCCTTTGCTAGTCCAGCCTCCGTCTTTGCCTGAACACAGCATACCCTCAGCTAGCCTCCAAGATATTCAGAATTGCCTATAAATGCTGAGTTCTGCTTGTCTCAGATGGTCAAGTACATGTAATAAAATGAAAGATATTACAAATCTAACTTCTTTGGAGCATCTCACTCAACAAACATTATAACCATCAAAAGATTGGGATATCTGAATGGCTGTGATTGTACAGTCCCAAAGACCCCTGTCAACAAACACCAACCTTTCCTTGCTCATTTCTCCCCTCCCGTCCTCCTTAATTTAGTGACTTCCCTCTCTGCAATGTGAGTTTAAAGCCAGCAAAGCCTGAGTATAGCCAAGCATTAGGAAATCCTCCTGCTGTTCCCTAAGCAAGTCTTTCCATAGTAGTCTAAGGGAGGTGGACCTCGGGACAGATTCAGTCTAGAGGATACTCATTCCCACAGGGAGATGGGGGGGCTGAGAATCCACCCTTCCTTGTCACAGACTGACACAGAGACCTGCAGTCCATCCAGCACCAGCTGCTCACTTCCCTCTTCCAGCTGGTCACAGTGGCAGAGGACATTTTGTGCTGAGCCCCACACAGCTGGCTCAGCCTCCTTCTTCCCTTCTTGTATGGTGGTCCTCAGACACTACACCAACCCAAGACACAAGTGAAAATCAGGCAGTCTGCAATATATTGGATCAGCTAATTAATCTTTACTAAGAATGGGAATGTGCCGAGAGGCTTGGAGCTGACTGTATTGCAGGAGCCCTTCAGAAACAAAGAGCAAAACTTGGTAGAGACAATACTGACATATCCAATTTTATTTCCTTCTTTTGGTGAGACAAAAGCAATAGAACTTTTCTTGCTGGTTCAGGCAAATCTGTGGTTTGGTTTGGTTTCACTAGTGCAGGCACAAAAGGCTGCTCTTTTAGGACAGAGTCAGTTTATCCTTGGGCGTACCAAACCACAAAATTTGTACTGCTAGTGTACAGGTTGGAGTGTCCTGCCTATGACATTACTCACGCAGTTGTGTCACAACCATTGCAGGAGAGTCTGACTACTGGTGATGAAAGATCTTAAATGCTATCCAAACCACTTCTAGTACTTTACCTCGCCCACAAATAACCCAGTTCCAGAATATCTACCAAGACTGTTGTAAAAGTTTTGCATTGCAAGCAACACAAATTATACCAAACAGGTGGATTTGCAGAACACCCTCACTGAGGACGTCCTTGCCTCTCTTCCTGACTATGTATGAGCTGGCCAGATCACGCCCAGCCTATACAGATAAATCAGTCAGTCCAGTCCTGCTGAGTTCTGAGACAGTAACTTCTGTGTGTAATTGTATAATGTGTTGTCATAGCAGTTTGGGGATAAGAACATTCAGGCCACTTTAAAAATTAAATATTGTTATGAAAAATTCTGAACATAAAGCATTCCCAAGTGACACATTTTTCCATTGTCTTGCTTTGGTCAAATAAAAGTCAGATGGTTTAGAAAATGAACCTTCTCTTTGCCAGGAACTACCAGCAGAGTTCTGGAAAGAGAACTCCACACAGTCCTGTGATGGTAAATCTAGATGGATAGGTGGGAACTGAAAAAGCCTTTCATAAAGGGGTCTACTTATTGCTAGGGAAATGTTGAACTGGCTCTTCATATAGATATTTCAGTAATGCCCATAGTTATCTTCAGATTCCCATCCAGTTATTTCACGGACTGCTGCATTAAGGCAAACTATTTCCATGAGAAATTTTAGTTCAGTGAGCAGAATGCTAAAGCACATTGTACCGTGCCACTTGGCTTTACACTGATGGAGCATATGAACTTAAAAACACAACAGTAATTCTTTTCACAGAAAATAATGTCCATCCTGTAATGCCTGAAATAAAGCAATTTAAGACTGTCAAGACTGGGGTCACAGCGCAGGCAACTGGACATGAGGAAATAATGTTTTTCTTCTCAGATAATAGTTTTGCTCCACACTTAATTGAAGTTATTTTTCACTTATATTTACCAAGCATCCACAACATTTCAGTCATATTTACCAAGCATCCACATATTTATGAAGTGTGAAAGGAAAGCAGAAAAGGAAGGAAAACAGCTGATTGTGCTGACTGTATGATATTCCCAAAATACAAAAGCTTTGTGTAAGAACACGGCAGCCTCTCTGCTAATTGGCCTCTGCTTATCATAAACAAGAAGTAAATCCAAGAAACAGGAAAAGGGTCACAAAAAGGAAATGATAATGATATTGAGACTAGTGTTTTAACAGTCTGCTGAGGGATGATTTTGCCTGAACTTAACCTTTGAGTTAAATAAAATTCAGACACAGCTTTACCTACAAGAAATTAACCCTCCAGGTCCAACAGTGCTTAACAGCAGCTGGGGAGCCTGTTCATTTGCTACTACTGAGAGAAGCTGTGAAGAGGTTTGAGTCAAGTTAGGATTTTCAGCGTAAAAATGCCATAGATCTCCACTGAGCAGGTAATGTCTATGTAACTTCCATGTGGTCTTACAATAGCATGTTTTTGCTGCCATTTCTAGCTGAAGCTACCCAACCACCCACTATTTTCTTTTTCTTTTTTCTTGCTGAAGGGCATCCTGAGACAGTATGTCCATATTCTCTGCTTGGGGTAAAGATGCCAAGATGTTCAGATTAGGAAAGGATTTCCTACTATAGTACATATCCCATTTTTAATTAATCTTTCACAACTAGTAGTGTAGATAAGTAAAAGAGAGAGACTTTATAAATTAAATTAAAGGTTTAAATGGCAGCTATTAATAGCAGAGAATAAACTGAATGCAGTTGCTGTTTACACTCAGCATGGTAGGAGTGAGGAGAGCCAGTCAATGCTGAGTTTTGCTACTCTTCAGGAGGGCAAGCAGTCAGAAACCCTTTTGGGAAATAGACTGCCACTGCTGTACAAACAAATCCTCAAACAAATAATGAAGCTTTGTCAGTATCTACTGGGGTGTTGTTTAGAAGCAAATCAAATATTTAGCAATGTAATGGTCTTCTTACAGAGAGAAGTGACTTCAGTTGTTTAATTTGGAAATGTCTAAACAGGAAGTAACTCACCAACATCTTCTCAATATTTAGTTATCAGTAACTGTCTCTCGGGAAGCCCTAAGAGATTGGAAGAGCCTGGGAATCTAAACCACTCTGCTCACACAGGGTCAGACTGGTTGTCAGTCTGCAATTATTCATCACCTCTGGCTTAGCACTCTCAGTCTGACAGTGATAAAAGCGATGAGCATCCCCAGTAGCCTAGATGCAAGGAGTGCCAGGGAGCAGCAGGAGAGGGGCAGCCCCAGCGAGGCTGGCAGCCAGGAACTGCAGGTGACAGCAGGGCTGGTGCCTCACCTGGAGAGCTGACAGGCAAAGCATGGAAGGTTAATCATGGCAACCAGGGTTAGTCACAGCCCAGCATGACTGAGAAGGCCTGGGATTTTGCCTTGAGCTGAGACAGGGCTCCCAGGCCCATGGGCAGGGTGTGCAGTCTGGGGTCTAGATCAGGATGCCCAGGACAATTAAGGCTACCGTTGCAGTGGGGGCTCTGACAGGGAATGCAGGTATAAGTGCTGTGTAGGATGTTCATGGTGCAAAAAAGCACAAAGATTGATCCGCAGTGCTCTTGGGCAAAAAGCAAGGAGGAAAGGTGCCTCAGCTGTGCTCTCCAGTTTTGGGTGGGGGCAGATTGTCCAGACTGATCTGAGCTACTCGGACCCTGACAACTCTGCCTGTCTGTCTGTTAAACAGAGGTATCCAATATTTCTGGTGTAATATTTTCAGGATCACTAAATTAAAAAAAAAAAAAGTTTAATCTACCTGTCAGTCGAAAGAAAACATGCAAAATTGAAGTATGTCATCAAACTGAACTAGAATAACCATCAAACTCGTGCAATTAAAACACAAGATGCAAAACATTTAAATAGGTTAATTTCGCTGGAGGCTTGAATGATAATATGACAATGGAAGCTTGCATTTCTTTTAGGAATAAGAAATCGCATGAAAACAGAAATAAGACATAGAGAAAATGAGAATGAAAAGATATTACCTCTCTCACAGATCCACTGTTTTGAATAGATAAATATAATGCAGCTGCACTCTGTTATTCATGTTGATGGGAGGGTGGCATAATCTGAATAAAGCAAAACCACAACTAACACAAGACATGTAACAAGAGAGTGCATTCACCTTTGGAAAGCACAGCAGCCTCTAGGTTCTCTAGAGAACAGACACAGCACTAAGTGTCGATGGGAAAATGGGAACTGAGCTAAGCTGCCCTCATGCTGGATCAGGCATTTCTGCATAAAACAGTGCATTGGAAGGTAGGACCAGACACAATCCATAACCAAGACTAATGAAGAGCTTACTGAATATTTTTCTGTAAAGGCTGGCATCTCCCCTATGTTAGCTACTTGAAGCTGTCTTAAGACCATCACTTTTTTATTCACCCAGGGTTGCCACTACAGTTAGTATCAGGTAAATTGTTAGATTATTCATCCCTCATACACATATTGCAGCCTCTAGCTGACCTAAACTTTTGTTCATTCCACAACATGGAAGTCTCCATACCTGTATGTCCCTGCATACGTAATGCAAATTCACATTGTTTCTCCTTGATTTCAAATGACTACTGAGGAATGTATTACCTCAGGGACAAATCCTGAACACACAGTTAGTGTAGCATCAAATATCGAACATGTTGGAATAAATGAGAATTGTCATTCACCTCTTTCTAGAATTTTATTCTAACTTTTTTTAATGGAAAAAGATAATCTAAGATCAAATACATTTTATTATTAGCTGATTATGCCTCAGGGTTCCTTCTAGAAACTTTAGTAGAGTCAGCACATCTCTCTGGATGGTCTCCTGGAACTCAAAGAGAAAAAGCTTTCCTGGAGAAGTAAAATCTACCCAGGCAGAAGATGGATACTTGTTAATTAGGATAATGGTCTTACTTCTTTATGTTACAGAAATGTAATGTATGACTTTGCTGGGCGCAAAATATCATTGAGAGCAAAAGCTTGTTACTGATGGAAAAGTCTGCATAAACATTGCAATGTAGAAAACTTGCTTAAAAATGGGGATTTTCAAAATCTGCAAAGATCTGCACTTTCTGTAAGAGCGAGCACACATCCAATGTTATCAAGCAACCTATTTGTTAAAATTCAGCATGAGACAAATAATAAATAGCAAAGACATTAATTCATTAATGTGGAGTGAAAAACAGAGCAGGTGGCAGCTTCCTGTGCTCCAGGCAGGTTGCACCAGTGACACTTCCAACAAAGCAGAAAGCTTAGGAAGGATCAAAGGCATCACATCTCCTTTCCCCTTAGTTTTAATTGAGAACAATGGTTTTGAATTTCCATCCTGTGCAAGTGGCAGAAACAGGCAGAAAACAGAAATGATTGAGAAAGAATTGCCTAAAAATGGCAATTTTTATTAAAAATTGTATTAAACAAATGTATTAAAAATAGAAAAAAATAATCAAATTACTTTGTAGTAAGAATTTGGCAAATTTTGGTGCATTTTGAACTATGACTGCCTCTTGGAATGGCTGTGTCTCCTCTCTAACTGAAAAGATAACCAAGGACTGAAATCCTTCATGGGATTCCTTCAGCCAAACTACTCATGGGATTGAGGCTTTATAAAGGATCCTTTCCATTGATTACTGAAAAGTGCTGAACCTAGGGCAGAAAACAAAGGAGGGAGGGTGCAAAAGGAAGGGAAGAGGAGTGGAGAGGGAGAGGGAAAGGGAGATTGCCCATGGTCTTAGCACATGAACAAGAGTGGTAGCTCTTCACTACCCATACATCTGCTTACAATAGGGACCAAATACAGTTTCAGAAATGTTCAAAAGTTTAAGAATGCTTTACAGAAAAGATTTAAGTCTGGGTCTTTGAATGTATCTGGGCATCTGTCTGTCATTTAGGAATCTGTTGCACTTGTAATGTGAATTAGAGTCCCCTGAAGATTTCTAGTCACTTAACCACTCTTCATTTTCTGTATTTTCCCAGAAATGATATTTCCATAAAACATTAGCTTGTGCTATTGATTTTCACTCAAGTCTGGTTCCAAAAGTCGTAACTCAGAGTTTGCATTTCTGTGAATTCATCCATATGAATTCATTTCATATGCTGACATTCGAATTTAAGTTCAGAAGGGAATCACACTCAAAATATCTTTTTCAAGAATGGCAGCTCCTACTCACTTGAGCTGTTCTCCAGATGGACTTGAGTCAAACCTACTTTATTGGCTGGGCTCCCGATTCTGCAAGAACATACTGTTGTAATTGTAATTGCACTAATAATCTCAATGAAGTACCGAAGGAGCTGGCAAAAGCCTTATCACAGTCATTCGGTGTATTCGCTTGCTTCAGGTTTTTGATACTTTTCATCCCCACCGACACTGCAAAGTACTCATGCATTCTTAGATTTCTCTCCAAGCTTGCATGTTTTTTTACTGAAATTGCTAATTGTGATGTAGGCACACAATTATTGTAGTTTAGATTCGGCCTAAATTGCCAGTTACATTTAAATGGTCAGGTTCTCAGCTGAGCGTGTGTGCACGCACATATATCTTAAACTGATCAGATGTGAATTTATTAAGAAAAATTAAATGGATTTCTAGATGCCTTAGTGCAGAATCTCCTCATAAGAAAAATAAATTCTCTTGTAAACAAGAGACTAGAGTAATCTCAAGTTCACTTTTTATGGCAGTCTTTGGAACTTTTATTCACCTGCAGTCAAGTTTGGCCACCTCAGTTCATCACAATGGTTACATAAGTCTTTATTACAAAGACCCTAACTTTTAGTAGAGTAAAATGCATTACCTGGATCTATAGTATTATCTGTGTTTCTCTGACTTCGGCTTGCCAGGCTCATGGTGATGTTTGCTGCTCCCTTTTTCACTGGAGCTAGTTTCTTCGTAACTGGTTTCACCTGTTTCTGAAGTTTGGTGATGTTGTTCATTGCACTTGCCATTGCAACGTCAACATGCTGGGTTAAATTTGTCAAGATAGTCCCTGCTTTTATTTCAAGCACAGATTCAATGAGCTCTTTGAGGCCTTTCTGCAGCAGGGGTATATCTGGCTGAGCAAGTTTAATTAGCACGGGTATACTTGCATTCACTTTTTGGATGCTGCTGTTGGTATCCTGACACAGCCCCCAGGCCTCATGAGCAGTCTTGTTCAGAAGTGGAATGCTGTTTGAGAAGCGGATCGACTTGGCTTCCAGGGCCTTGATCCTGGAGCTCAGTGTCTGGAGCTGAAGTGAGACCACTTGTTCTTTCTCTGTTGAGGCAGCTTTGGTTTTTTTTAGTGAGATACAGTTGTTTGCCAAAAACTTGGAAATTTTTGACTCCACACTCAGAAGGCGAACCTCATGGTCCTTTGATTCCTCCACAAAGTCGAATAGTTTTTCTTCCAGGCGGTTGATATCTTGTTGTTGATTGTCCACTTTTGATGATGTTTCATTTAAAATATAGAAAAATCTTCTGAAATTGTGGAGGATACTTCTGTCAGACTTTTCATATGGAAGATCAGAAAGTGATTCATACTTCTTGCCAATGAGCAGTGTCTGGAGGGATTCATTCAACTGTTGGAACTGGGGAATGAAAGCCAGGACACTGTCCAGTTTCTCAGCTCTGCCACAGCAGACTTCAGTCTCATTTCTTAGAGCAGGTAGCATATCTTTCAGTACATAGTTATCCTGAATAGAATCAATAGCGCTGTTTATTACTATCATGGTCTTGTTTAATCCATCTTCTATTTCCATGGAGCATTCATTAACACGACTCTCAAACAGTGCCTGATAAGTTTGAGATTCATTTTTAAGTCCTTCCTGAGTTTTGGAAAGCTCAGTAATTGCAGAACTTATTCTATTAATGACAGTTGTGAGGTTTTCAAGTTTCTGATTGATTGCTTCAGCTTGGATCTGTTGTTCATAGTCTGAAGTCAGACTAAAAGGTACCCCTTGTTCAATCAAGGGTTGCAGGATCTCCATATCATAGCACAAGTCATTAATTTGCTCATTCATTTTGTCCATCTTATTGTCCAATGGAAGGACCAGGTCAGAGAGACTTTTGTTTAGGACAAGCACATTCTCTTGGATTGCTGCCAGCTGAGTTTCGAAATCCCTTCTGCTCTCTGACAACATGTCATCACAGATTCCCAGAACAGAGTCTCTCTGAATTTCCAGTGCAACACTGAGATTGCTGATCTTGCTGTCCTGGACTCTTAAGTCATCATAGATCTGCAGCACCATCATGCCTTGTTTCCTTACTTTCTCATGCAGTGTGAACATATACTCTGTAACATTGTACTCTGTGACTTTGTCTGCTGAAGGGGTGTTTTGGCTTGAAGACTGTTCAGCTGATAACAGTTGTTCATGAGCATCTTTCATTTCTGAGAGAGTCCTATTTAAAGATTCATAATAAATGACACTTCTTGACTGTTGATGCTCCAAGTTATCTTCCAAGGATTTCTGCTTTTCCTGTAAAGCTTTCATAGGCTTGTCACAACTGAGGGTCATTTCCTCTTTCATCTGCACCATATGACTCTTTAGCTCCAGAATGTCAAGCTTTGTTGGTGCACTGTCTTTTTCCTGAGCAATTTTTTGTTGGGTTTTATTCAGATGCTTGACTGATTCTTTTGTATTTTCAAGATCATCTGACAAACCAGACACAGTCTTGAAAATTTGAGCCATGCTCTCTTGGATTTCACCTTGAAATACTTTAAACTGTTCTCTGACGATGTCTTTGACTAATTCATTAATACTTCTGGATTTGAGACCTTTGGGAAAAAGGAGAAATATGGAAACAATCAAACCAACTGTGTTAGGAACATCTAAATTTTTTCCACAATGTGAGCAAACACGGCGCTGAACAGAAGTGAAACACACACATCTCCTCCCCACCCACAAAGCAAAATTTAAAGCTGAGGAATGTGGAGGAAGGCTAATAGTGTTTGAAAACTCATCCCTGTTTCTACTGAAATCTGTGGGAGCTTTGTTATTATTTTGAAAGGGCAAACTTAGACTCTGCATATGTGATATCAACTTTGATCTCCAAGCTAAGCTGTTTCTGAGCACTGAAATGAGGAGATTGGTGTCCTTTTGTGGCTGGCTCCTAAGAAAATGACGTGTCCTTTCTCCACAGGAAAAGTAAGGGAAAACACCTGGTTTATCAACATTATGGTCAAGAAGTGAAAGGAGAGTTTATTACCTTCCTATTGGATTGTATGTGGTAAGTGATCATACAACACACTACAGTGAGAAAGAAGTAAAATAAAAATAGCCTTATTGAATATCTGAAGTTAGTAACATGACAACTGCTGCAAAAGGCAGACATTTTAAAGGTACAAAACTTTATAGTTAGTCTCGTATACTACGACTCTTTAAATAGCTCCCAGGAATACTGATCCTGAAAAGCACTAGGCAGAGGTGAATGTGTGGGAATTCTGCTCCTGTGAATAATGTCAAAATATGCCTCCTGTATAGCCTTAGATGGGTTAAGTCAGTCATAAAATAGTGTTCATCAAGAATACTGCATAACATATTTGAATTAATTAGAGCAGTAGTTCTGCTCTGGTGTGAGATTAGAAGGATTTTTTTAATTTGTTCTCCAAAGGTAGCCCCTATGTCCAGCTAAAACACTGAAGCATTCTTCGCATGTTTTTTCTAAAACTTATGAACACTTACAGCCAGCTTGTGATATAATGGTTAAACCCTTCAACCTCTACAACGCCTTGAGGACCATCAGTTCTCTGTTTAAAGCTGTACTGATAAAGGCAGAAATTCTCTGTTGCCTTCCTCTATTTTCCTCTCAATTACTTCTATAGCCTTGATTTTATTGCTTCATCTCTAAAACAGGAAGGCATGTTCTGAAACCTTATTTGAAAGTACGTTCTCAGCACGAGCAGTAAAATGGCAGGAAATCAGACCCATGAAACCCAACACAACTTTGGGCTCCAGGGGTGCAAAAGGATTCGGTGTAAAAATGATTTTGTTCAGCAAGCTAGAGAGAAGCACAGTACCTTTTCTATTCCGGAGATCCATTTGAATTGTGCATGTGTTTCCAGCAGGAAACAGATGAAATAGTTGATAATATTTGCTTTTTTTTATGTACTATAAATGAGTTTCAGTCTTCATTATGTCTGGTAAAATGGACAGTAAACACCTCTGAGGCTTAGAGGAGAAATCTATCACTTGTTCAGATGGTGGGTTTTTTCAAGGCAGCCTATAATGGGCAGGAGCAATAAGTTTGCTAGTCTAAAAAAAGAGCCACTTCAGAAATATAGCATGAAGTATCCCAAACAATAAACTCAGTTACTGTCAGCTGTGGTCACAGCTGTCAAGCAATTTTTACACAAAGTATAAAAAGCAACAAAGTGATACTACTGAGATTGCCTTTATTTTACTTTTTACTACCTGAACAGCAAGTAAATGACTTGACAGATGTATACACATGAATGTGCACATGAACATGCACACTTACACACAGAGCTTTGTCAGTGAGCTTCAGTGAAGGAAAACAGTAAGATAAGTTACCTGAGAATAAGGATGTTTTGGCAGCTGAGAGGAATAACCAAGATATGAATGCAGAGTGAAATACCTGACATATCGAGAAACCATTGTAACTGATGATTTGGTCAGGTTACTTTATGATGCTGAAAAATGTTCTGTGCTTTAAAAGACACAATGAGCTGTGAAGGGAAGTCTAATGGCTGTGCAAAGAAACAAGGTTACTCTACACCTTCTATGAGGAATTAATTAAATTTCTTCACCTAAGCAACAAATCTTGATAACAGACAATCCTGCTGTGAGAGGTCTTCCACAAGATCTATATTGGCCTTTTCTTTCTGTGTCAGTCAAGAAACTGCCACCTCTCTCCCTCTCTTTTCTACCCTATTTCATTAGATCGCGGGTGTTGTACGAAGCTCAGCACTGGTTTTCAGGTGTTCTTGTTATCAAGAGGTGGAACCTGATAAAACAGACAGCTTTCGGTTTCTCTCCCTTACTTGCTGGCTAGGACAGCTAGGTACCTAGTAAGAAAGTGCTACTCCAAAATTCACTAGGGGCTGTAGGAGCACGCTTCTCCACAGAAAGACCTGACTCAAACTTGTGTTGTAGGTGACAATGAGGTATATTCTTAAGCTTGAGCTGAGAATACACAAGAGTACATTCATGGGTGTAACTCAATTTCTCTGTTGCTCATTTTGAAACAGAAAGGTCCAAACTACCTGTGAACATTAAAGACCTCTTGCACTTTTTACGAGACTATAAATTTTAATTTTAACTCTGGCTGAAATCCAAAGTATGTAATTACTTTCCATCAACATATACTCCCTTTGCAGATTCATTTATTTGAAGAATAGTGTGCAAAATAAATGTATGTACACAGGAGACTGAGTTAAGGTTATATATCCAGCTGTAAATGACATTTCTGACTTGGAGGTGACTAACACTCCATTGTTTACTTCATTTTTAAAGGAGTGTGCATTTTAATAATGAAGAGGAAAGGAGTCTATAAAAAGGTTTGATGTGGAGTGAAAGGAGGAAAAAAAGAGTAGCAAGAAGTAAGCAGACTTTATTAAATTAAAGGGAGAACACCAAATTATTTTCTCTAAGTAAAAAGTAGGAACAGTCTCCTAAGTACAGAAAACAATTAAAAAAATGCACAACAGGTTTCACTAACCAAATTAGAAGAACATATCAGTTACTCCAGTGAGTGTTGCCCTGTATCAACAGGTGACAGGTTTGTGGGACCAAAGTCTATTTACAGATGAAACCAAGAAATAAAGACTTTGTATTGAATTGTTTGTTCACAGAAACAGACCTCACTCCTAACAAACCCTGATACATAGCTGGGCAGCCATTAGAATTTCTGTGATAAGAAAAAAGGTGATTAATGGATATGAGCAAAGGACCTGGGCACCACAGAAAGAAAATGGAAAAGTAGGGGAAGAAGGAAGAAGTCTGAATAGCATGAAGAACTACAGACTTTACTGTGCTTCAAAAGCACATTGCTTCAGGATAGCAGTGACAGTGGGGAAAGTTCTGCTTCAGGTGAGCTTCTAAGAATAAGTTTTAGCAAGTCTGATGTGCCAATACACCTGTTCCAAGTTAGAGGACAGCATGGAAGCTCCTTCCAGCTCCTGCTACTTTAGGATGCTCTTTGTCCACTTGGAGTATGACTGACTGACATTCCCTGGATAGAAACTGAAGTTGCCCTTTGACATTGCACATACAAGCCAACAGAAACACTAACCTTGTTCTCTCTCCCCTCCTCCCCTCATTCCTTCTATTTACCTATGTACAAGCCAAGAATAACCCGTATTGGAGTGCCCAAAATTAAGGTCAAGGAAAGTAGCTAATAGAAGCATTTTCATTAAAGTTACTTGATTAGGAGATAGATTGAGAACATAAATCAAAAAAGGGGCAGCAACTGGAGATTTCATCTAAGCAGGTAAAATAAAGAACATTGCAGATAAAAACAATAAAGGCTTGAAACACATTTACAGGCAAGTGTGAAATAATGTGGTTTTTTGGTACTGCACATTTTAATTAGGACTTGGACCCTTAAATATAGATAGAGAATGGAGAAGCAGGAGCACATGATGCAGCAAAAGACCGCTTGGAATAGCATGAATGTGACAGAGTGGAATAGTGTGAGAATGAGTGGAATATAAAAAAGAATGAAGAGAAAGCAGAAGGGAAATGGGAAATATTCAAAGACAAATTAAATGTATGCCCAAGGGTCAAGAATGCCATCTAGCAATATGTGGAGAGGTGAAAACAGGTCAGCAAGAGAGATGGGATAAACGTGATCCAGGGTACAAGAGAGCCATCTAGCATGTGGCATGAGCAACTCAAGAGACAGAGGACTGAAAAGACAAGAAATGGGACCACACTTGGTAAATTCAAGGGAGATACAAAAGCACTTATTGTTTCATTTAGTTTTATCTCAATGTAAGGAGCTCCAGTTCCCTTGTTCCATTTTTAAACTACAGAAAAGTCCTCTGGATTCTAAAATGTATAATACAAACAACTTGGGGAAAATTCCTGAAAAATGAGGAAAATATTGCACGTCAAGGAAATTAAAGCTTCAGTCCCAATCTGCTTGTTAAGCACCATTTGTAGGCAGGTGACAAACAGATCTTGCTGCAGGATTCAGGAATAATGGATGCATAACGCTGCTGGCAAGGGTCTGCCCAACCTCCTGGTCCCTGACCATGTCTTTCTCATCTACCGAACATGAGTACAGATGTTTATCAAAGA